CAAAACAATTTTAAAGTAGTGTCACTTCTTATTAGCTCACTAATTCAGAGAACAATTCTCCCCATCACATCAGGAAAAACTGACTCTTACTATTAATAGTGATGTTTGTTTTCCAGTCTCTACCTGAAAAGCCGAAAGCCTTCCACCATCACACAGTCCCTCACTGTATTTATTAGTCTGATACCACGGAGAAGTGTATGTATTCACACAGGGCCAATAAGACCCCTTCCATCATGCTTTCTACTAAGTTGTCTACAAAGAGATTTTTCAGACAAGAAGTTGTGGTTTTTACCCCCATCGTTACTTACTTGTCACATTGCTTTTACTTGTTTGTCTACCCTTCATGAACAATACACATCCTTGAATACCTATGTTCCATTCACAATTACCAGTCTATGGCAGTCTCTAAGTTTCCACTACTCTATGACCAGCATCAGGAGTTGTAGTTCCTCTATTTTACTGCTGATTCCTTGCATTAGTGAACAAAACCTGGCCACATCTGCCTGACATTATTCCATTTCCTGGCTGGCCTCCAATATCACCTACATTTCCATTACTTGAGATAATATTAGTATTTTCTTCTTACTACCAACCCATGTACTAACTGATTTTATTTTTGTTTATCTGCCTTTTCATTTTCTTACAGAATGACATAGAAGGTAGTCTACCATGGCCAGACAAGTAAGACAGCTCTGCCCTAGAGCTGTCTGTTCAACAGCAGGAAGTAGCGATCCATAACCCAGGAAGAAGCTTACTGGACCATGTTCCCCGTCTTACAAAATAATGCAATGGCAACATTCATCTATTGGCTTCATTGCGCTACAGTGCTCTAATATCTCAAGTGGTGGGGGAATGGGAAAACAGGAGAGAAAGAAAGAAGCTTACGTAAATAAGGCTCTAAGAATGAGGTCACATAATACTTTACCAACACATTACAGAAAAGAGAAAAATAGTAAAAAAAAAATTGTATTTATTCAGCTTTTGAATTCATTTCACTGGTCAGCTTCTGCTTTCTTTACACCCATAGGCAGTCTAAAACCAGAAACCAGCACATGCACTGAAGCTTGGTGTAAAATAGCTGGAGTTGAGAGGAATAGCAGTAATAAGCAGAAGAATGCATAGTCCACACAATGCACTAGAGTGCAGAAGACCCTATGCTAGCACCAGCTACTTCTGCCAGGTACCCAGGAAACAAGTAATTCAGACCTATTGACAGCACCCGTTTGCTCTGGCAAGGCTTCAGGGAACACTGACTCAAGTCAAATAAACTAATGGAAGACAATACATGACAAAGCAATGGGGTGGTATAAGTCTGGGCTGCCAGCACTGTAAGAGAACCCATGCCAGACAGCCAAACCATGAGGAAGATCCAGGACTTCTGCCCCTCAGAAGGCTTCCCCAGTGCTGGGATCCCAGGCTGCAGGTCAATATAGAAGATATAACCCAAACCTTGTTCTGACCAGTTGTGAAGCTTACCTAGCCAGCTTTTAGGTGCCTTCCAGTTACCAGAAGTCTGCTGAGGCTGTGTCTTTTGTGGCTGTCCTGTCAATAGCAAGACTTTGCCCGTGCTGAGCCTTCCTTCTCCTCCAGAGCTCCTGTACCCTCTCACAGTCTGGTTTGCAAAAATCCCTTCCAGTCACCTCAAGGAGGTATTGTCTCCTATCCCACTGCTGCCACCTCCTCTTAGATCCACAGTCTCTCTCTGGCTGCTTCTCCTCCTTGTGGAAACCCATCTGTGCCTCCCTTTGCCATGCTCCGAGTATTTCCTTCCTCCAGGCTTCACGGGTAATGCCACCAGAGCAGGTCAGCTCATCTGGCCTTTGACAGGCCTGCACAGCCTGGAAAAATGAGGTTACGAGCCAGGCCCCGTATACAAAGAAGTTTTGCACAGACATCTTCCCTGGGCGTCCTCCTCCCCCTCGACGCTCAAGCCTCACCTGCACTCCCTGGCTGGCTGGGCCCTGGTTCACCAGGGCCTCCCCGATTATCCCCAGATTGCCTCCCTGCAGCCACTCTGGGTCCAGCTCAGAGCAGACCACATCTTCGCACTGCAGGTGTACAGGGTGGCTACACGCTGGTGGAGAGCAGGCTGCTTCAGACAGGCTCTTGAGGCCAAGAGCCTTAGCCCCATGTCGGGAAGACACTCAGGGACTGTTCCAGTCGGCAGCCCCACTGAGGGGGCAGCCAGGGATGCTGGAAGAGAGTGGGTGAGGCCAAGGCCAGGGCCTGGGCTGCATTTATGTTCCTGAGGCACCTGGGGGAGGTGATGGCCTCATTGCTGGCAGGTGTGATCTGGCCTGGCCCAAGCTGCCCACAGTGCCAGTTTTCCCTGCTGAGCTAGGCCTTCCTGCCACCCCTGTTGGAAGCTGAGGACTTGTACATTTCCCCTTCATTTGCCCATGAGCTGAGAAGTTCCTTCCTTTCCCAAGGAAAACACTAGACACAAGGTTGCCGCACTGCCTATGTCCCCATGTCTGGGGTGGTTCACCCTCCCCCTGAACACAGCCAGTCCAGACAGTGCAGAGAAGAGCAGAAGCACACTGCAAGCCTGCTCCAGGATATACAACTAGTGCTCCCCAGCTAAGACAGGGAGGACAGTGTGTGGATCAGCCATAAAACCACAGAGGGACTTCTATCAAAGCACTGCGGACCTTGTCTGAGCATCTGACAAAGAGCAGCTCCAGACCTGTGTCTTGGCTTCTTTCTTTGTCTCAGTCCTGAAGGGGCTTTTTTTGTCACAAAGCACTCCCAAACACCAGCTTTGGCTAATTTGTATGGCTGGCAGGGTGCTTGAGGCTACACCCACACTGTGACGCAAAACATCTGTGACTATAATGCCTGAAAAACGACACTAGCACATTTGTGGTTTAATGCTAGTTTACTATTGCATCAGGGAAAACCTAGGTGTGGTCAAAAGGCAGTGTTATGTTTGCAAAAGATGGCAATAGAGGATGTGGCCTTGAGAAATCTAAATATCTTAAGATTTATGAGCTATGTATATGCCTGTGTCTCTGGCTCTCTCAGCGTCCTCAGCCAAATACTGCTGGGCTAAAAAGAAACAGAACGGTGTTAATCATTGCAGAATGTTTGCATGTTAACAGGCATCTCTGAGGGAGCTCTGAAAGAAAAGGGGTCCATGAAAGGAGAGGAGTCTGAAAGGAGCAGCTTACTCTAAAACCAGGATCTGTTCATTAGTAATGGGAATTACAGAACCCAAGGTGCATGGAGAAGAGTTCAAGGCAACAGATAAAACTTGCCAGCTGTAGTAGACACAAGACAGCATAACAATACATCAATGTCATGCTGTAAAGGTCTCCTGACTCAACAGACCCCTCACACACCACCCTACTTGTTATTTGTCAAAGTTTTGTCTTAAGCAGCTCATTTTTTTTGGCTCTATTTGGAGGTCAAATGGCATGAAATCTCTGAAGCCATCTACCATTCACCCATAGCCCCAGCTTCTCTCTCATTCTTTTTGTTCTGAGATTGCTTTCTTTGAAGGGAAAGTTTATAGCATGGACACTCACCTGATGTGTCAATGACCTCTTCATACACTGCTATCTTTCTCATATAGATACCTCCCCTCTAATGGAGTACCCAGCTTTGTCCTGGGCAGCGGAAGGGGAGGCAAGAGATATCTACAGAACCTGACTGGAGGTCTGTCAGCATGTAATCTAGAGTTAGCTCACTTTCCCCCATCATTGGGGAGGCAGGGTTGACCATCGATCCCAATTCTGCAGGAGGAGAGGTGAACAGAGCTGTAGGTGACGATGTGAGGCACTACACAAGCTGCTCCTCTGTCAGGCTCAGAGCCAGCTCCCCAAGCCCCTGAGCAGCTCACCAGAACAGGTGATCTGATGGGCATTATCAGCTTTTGACTGCACAGGCACTGCTCCTGTTTCCACAGAACGAACAGACATCAGCCACCAGTTCCTTATTACTTTACAGAGTTGACATATTCAGCAATCAGTAACCCTGGCACGTCACAAACACCCCATACAGTACAAGCATTTCTCAGGGTGCCACCCCTTCTTCACCACTGCAGCAGGAACTGCCCAGCTGCCCTGGCCTCACACGCTTAGGCACCAGCGCCTGGCATGGCTGGTTCCAGTCTGGGGGCAGCATCTCCCCCCA